AAAAAAAAGTTAAAGATAGTTTCCCAACTTATTCATAGGCCTCCACTGGAAACAAAGGATTACCAAAAATTGTAAGAGGTAAACCTTTCCAGTCAAACTGCATGTGGCAAAACAGGAGCTTCCTCATTAGTGGGACCACAGAGTCATATTTTAGTTTTGTGATTTCCTTGTCAGGACTTAACGTATGTTCTCAGATCTTCTGGAGAAGTCAAGAGCGATTAGACAGGCCAAAGATGAGAGGACCTTTCACATTTTCTATCGGCTGCTGGCAGGGGCTGGAGAGCATCTTCGAAGTGAGTGTCTGTGCACTGCTTTCAAAGCACAGGCAGTGAGAGTGAACTGATTTAATTGGCGTGCTGTTAAAATTGTAGACAAACAAGGAGTTTGTCAGAGTTTCATTCTAAGTCTGACTTCATTTAATATATATTTATATGTATACAAATGAACTTGCTATTCCGCTGGATCATTGTGCTGTTCCTGGCTTTTAGATTAAGAGATGAAATCTTTGTTTTATTCTGATCGCCTTGTTCTTCTGTCTCCTACTGAACAAAGATTACAGCCACAGTCTGACACATAAATTGTGTCAGAACTGGAACCTCGCAGTAAATATTTAAAAAACTAATATAAACAGATTCACCATAAATAATCAAATCACTTAACACAGGATAAGCTGTACCTGCCTTGATACTGCAATAAGAGCATTAGGAAGCTCAAGATATTAGTGAATGTCATAAAAATAAAACATCTGAGACAAATGTTAGAACTTTCAAATTCCAAGTAAAATCTTGTTTAACTCTTTTCCGCTTGAAAGCCAACTATGAGTAACCCTTGAAGCTCTTTTCTGAACTGAGAGCTTCTGTCATATTTTACGCCTGCTTATATAACAGAATGACTGGGTATCAGAAGTTAACGAAGATGCCCACCCAGCTACTCTTGGAAAAACACCGAAACTATTCTAATACCAAAGCTTCAAAACTTGCCATTAAGTGTAGAGTGGAGGTCATCACATGTGTTTATGGTGGAAAGAGATGAAATGTTTGATAGCATCATCCTGCCCTGGATCACCATCCAATAGAATTTCCATGCAGAGTTCTGCAGATGCATTTTAGATGTACACAGTAAAACACCAACAAATGCCTATTGTGCAAAATTAAGCAGATACCCACTGATCATTAATATTCAGAAAGGAGCACTTAGATGTTTTTAATCACCTTAAGTCCAGCCCCAACACGCTCACTGCTCCAGAGCCCTCCAAACTCCAGAAAAAACAATTAAAGTAGCTTTTACCATCATCATAATTTAACCTCCTAAGACCCGAACTCTTCCAGAGCATGCATCTTTGATTTCTCTTTGATATTTGGGCATATTGGGGCCCAATTAATGTAAAAACAAAGAATTACCAGATTTTGTTTTTACCTTATTTTTGTTTTTAAGAAAAATGAGAGCCACATATGAGGATATTCGTTTAAAATTTTGATAGAACAGTGGCGTATAAGGAAAATATGTTCTACGGTATAAAGAACATCTCTTTTTTTCCTTTCCTTCTTTAGCGGATCTGCTCCTCGAAGGCTTTAACAACTACCGTTTCCTGTCAAATGGTAACATTCCCATTCCGGGCCAGCAGGACAAGGAGAATTTCCAGGAGACGATGGAGGCCATGCACATCATGAGTTTCTCCCATGACGAGATTGTCTGTGAGTTATAGTTCCATCTGTGCTCCATTCCTTTGGAAATCCAGGTTCCTCAGACACTGCTTTTCCTCAGGCATTGTCTGGCACTCAGTAAGGTTTTTATCTCCTCTTGTTTTTGTCAGGCATGTTGAAGGTGGTCTCTGCAGTGCTGCAGTTTGGAAACATTGTTTTTAAAAAGGAGAGAAACACCGATCAAGCTTCAATGCCTGAGAATACAGGTAAACAACATCCAGTCGAAATAAACAAACATAACTCTTCTCACAGTTTCTGATTTTAAAAAGCTTTTAAATACAGCAGGTTTATGTAAAAATAAAACTTTCACTGTATTCTTTATGATTTGATTTCTGTTGTATATAAATTAGTGGCATGGTTTGTTTTCCCTACTTCTCCCAGCGGCACAGAAGCTCTGCCACCTGCTTGGAATGAATGTTATGGAGTTTACCAGAGCTATCCTCACCCCGAGGATCAAAGTGGGGCGAGACTATGTGCAGAAGGCACAGACCAAAGAACAGGTAAGGTTGTACTAGCTTACCAGGAAGTCCACCTGGAGGATATATTTGTAGTTCTAGCCTTGTAGTGTATGGGCTAGATCAGCGGTCCCCAACCCCCGGGTCTCGGACCGGTACCGGTCCGTGAGTTGTTTGGTACCGGGCCGCAAGAGTTGAGGCTCAGGTGTGAAATGTATGGTTTTCAAGGTTTTTATCGGTTTTCAGCGTTATTTTGTTATCGTCTTTATCGTTAACTCTGTTTTCCTGGGTCTTTTCACGTGTGTTATGAATAAATCTTCTTTTTTTCAGTACTAGTACTAGTTTTATTTTGTTGTATTTATCCGCGACACCTTAAAGGCCGGTCCGTGAAAATATTATCGGGCACAAACCGGTCCGTGGCGCAAAAAAGGTTGGGGACCGCTGGGCTAGATCACCAGACCAAAGCAAAATGGAGAAGATGCAGACATCCACACAGAGCTTCACGTTTAACCTCTGATGACATTTTTGTCACTTTGTCCCAAGCGGACCGTTGCATCTTCCCAGAAGATTAGTGTAAAACTGCGAGAATAATTAAGCAAATCTTCTCATTATTTAATTGAAAGTCAGGAAATCATGACAGATTTTCTTAAAAATGTTTTAAATCTCAAACTTTTCAAGTAGTTTTTATTGCACGAGCAGCATTGTTAAAATCCTCAGAGCTGGAAACCAAAGTCTGGAAACGTTTTAGATTCCCGATTACAAAAAATCCAAATCAGTAATCAGTTTAGTTGAATTTTAAATTGTTTTTATAAGAACTTAATAAACGAAATGTTTTATAATAGCTATGTTTGTATTCCGTTTTTGTCTTTTTGTTTGCAGCTGAAAAGGTTAATTTCCAGAGTGCTTAAGGGTACAATTCGTTTTTGCGAACTCAAACCATATGTTTGAACTGGTCCACCAGCTGGCTAATGGATTGTCCTAATTGTGGCCCACTGTTTGACGTCATGCTCCAACACTCCAGACTAAAACAACAACACGAGTCTGTGTGTATCTCATGTATAATTCATGTTGCTCTCCGCACTTTTCTGCTCTCTTTGTTTTACCTCAGGCTGACTTTGCTGTTGAAGCCTTGGCTAAGGCGACGTATGAGCGGCTGTTCCGCTGGCTGGTCCATCGCATCAACAAGGCGCTGGATAGGACCAAACGGCAGGGGGCGTCCTTCATTGGCATCCTGGACATTGCTGGCTTTGAGATCTTTGAGGTGCTCGTGGTGCTTTTAATAGTGACAGATGCTTTTCTACAACATACAAAGTGACGTCTGGCAGATGTAGTTTTGTTCCCTTGTAAGAGTATAAAAACAGACAGGACAGATGATCCAGCGAAAGGATAAATCACATGTAAAAAAAAATATGCCAAAGATTTCCTTCTGCTATTCACTTTCCTACCAGCTGAACTCATTTGAGCAGCTGTGCATCAACTACACCAACGAGAAGCTGCAGCAGCTCTTCAACCACACCATGTTCATCCTGGAGCAAGAGGAGTACCAGAGGGAGGGCATCGAGTGGAGCTTCATCGACTTCGGCCTTGACCTGCAGCCCTGCATCGACCTCATCGAGAGACCGGTCAGTGTGCTTGTGTGCATGTATGACAGTGTGTATACGTGTCTGCTTTTAAATACACGGTTATTCGCTAAATATATCTCCTCAGAATAACCCCCCTGGCATTCTCGCCCTGCTGGATGAGGAGTGCTGGTTTCCCAAGGCCACTGACAAGACGTTTGTAGACAAAGTGCTGCAGGAGCTGGGCACACATAGCAAGTTTCAGAAGCCACGTCAACTCAAAGACAAAGCTGACTTCTGCATCATCCACTATGCAGGAAGGGTACGTATATCAGGCTTGGAAGACAAAAATCAAAACGAAAGCAATTATCTTTGTTTCCTTTATAGCTTTAAATCTTTCTGTGCATTCCTTGTCCAACGACTTTGCTGCTTTTCTCTGTGGCACAGACTTGTGGTTGCGTAGTTTAACCAGGTCATTGCGTTAAAACAATAGCGCTGTTGTTGTGCTGCTGCCGCTGCTGTTGGAACCCCACATCTGGTTCACATTGGTGTGAGATTGAGTGCCTGATGCCTTGCGGTTGCATAACTGAGATGTGAACTTTCACCTTTGTGTGGTATTCTGCCATCTGTACGGAAAAAATGATCCTCCACGGCATTCCAAAGGGGGCGCTTGACATCTGATATCACAGCTACCCTGATGTGTTGAATACTATTTACCTGCTTCTTTTTCTGAATTGCACATATTTTTACAAGCTCATTGAAGACCACCAGTCAGTTTAACATTAGTCCGTATGAGAAACGGGTGATTCAGATAAATATTTCACATCCAGCTCACAAAACTGGATCCAACACTAAATCTGAACTTGGGCAAACAAATCCTCTGTGACAGAGTGATACCGAAGAGGAAAATAAGTACAAACATAGCAAGTTTGCTTTTCCTGGACTTTGATTAAACCCATATGCGGCTCTTACATTCTTCATGTTAGGTTGCCGGGCGTGTAATTTGCTTGTTATGTTCCACTCTCGTCCAGCACTGTTCGTAGTATGTCACATTTCTGAAAAACACATACAGGTCATTATCCTGTTTCAGACACTTAATCCAACCCAACTGTGCCGCCGCGATTCTTCACTGTGCTGCCAGTCAAATATAATATCCAACTGTGAATCTCATCATATACAGTATTATACCAGTTTGTGGTTTGAAATAGACTCACACAGCACATCTGGTGCTGCCTGTAAGTTAAAACAACTGCTGCGTGGTATCTGGAAACAGCGCCAGACCTAGCTGTCACTTAAGACAGGTGAAGCAACAGAGCAGAGGCAGTTAATCAGAGCCTGAAAACCATTCCTCTGAGAGTGGATTTTTCACACATGTTCTTTTTATTATTTATACAGTTACACTGGGGTATAAGATAAAAGACAGGAAAGCGAATGAATGGCCTAGAGCCAAATTTGCATAAATAAAGCCTGATTTGATGCTGTTTTTCCTGTGTGGGTTTTAGGTGGAGGTCACAGCCCTCATGGTGTTCTCATCTTTGATTTTTGTTTTTTGCACATATAAAAACACATGAAAACATTTTTTGTGCTTAAACAATGGCGATCACTGTTTTTGCTTAGGTGGACTATAAAGCTGATGAATGGCTTATGAAGAACATGGATCCTCTGAATGACAATGTAGCCACGCTGTTGCACCAATCAACTGACAAGTTTGTGGCCGAGCTCTGGAAAGATGGTAAGTCATTTAGAAGTTTGTAGTGGCCTGAAAAAGCCCACTGAGTTTTCACCTGTGTGTATTTATATGTATTTTCCTGCTCTCTGCACCATTTCAGACTGACATTACACACCACAAGTTCCAATGTGACATGCTATAACTGAGTGAATGTCATATTTCATGGAGGGAAGTATACTTCCTCTCCTCTCACACTTTCTCTCAGAGCTAGAGGTGTGTTTTATGGTTTTACTAATGAGGGGAAAGGCTTTGCCAGCAGAAACATTAAGGGTAAGTGAGTTAAACCACAGCCCACTCCGTTCAGTCGAATGAGCTGAATGACATTTGGTGCTAAAACTGCCAATTATACCAGTAAACACCTTTTTAGTTTAATTAACAATCTGATTAATGAGAAGCTTAATAACATGGTAATAACACTGATATTTACTCTTCTGTCTTCTTTAATAACAGCTAATCAGTGTTGTGAAAGTGTGTGTGTGTGTGTGTGTGTGTGCGTGCGTGCGTGCGTGCGTTGCATCCTTGCTGTCTTTCTTTTTCTCTCTTACTGTCCTGTCTTCTGTCTGTGTCTCTGTTGCTGTAGACATTCAGACGTTTCAGAGAGCCTCTTTCTATGACAATGTGTCTGGGCTCCATGAAGCTCCAGGTGAATGATAGTAACACTTAACCTTTGTAAACCACTGGCTGCTTCTCCTGCTCTGCACTGGCGGTCTCATTGGTTTCCTGTCCTGTCATGACTGCACCGTGCATCTGTCCAAAAAGTTCTCCTCCAGCTTTGCATGGCTTTAAAACCTCTCATACATATTTCTATTGGTGCTGGTGGTTTACTGCCACTCTTAATACATCTATTGTTTGTGAAGTCTTATTTTACAAATTGTGAAAATCTTAAACACTAAATCGGAGTGTGCCTGATCAGGGGGATGCATTTTAAAGTTGATTCAGGCTCTAGTGTACAAATGAAGGATTTAAAAAAAAAAAAGCTCACTGAATTAATGGGCTGCATATTCAGAATTAGGGTCAACAATTCAAAAGGAAAAACAACTACATCCTGTCAATCCTTATTACTCATAGGAGGCTGTGATTAACAATCTACTGTTTAACAAAAAGTGTTTAGTTTACTTAGACATTAAGCAAATATGATGAAAACTAACAAGAAATAGCTCTTCAACATGAGGGTTTTATTTTATTTTTTTTTGAAATAGCACAGAAAGAGAAAACGCCAAACCCAACGACCCCCTTTGAGTAAGCGCTCGGCGACAGTGGGAGGGGTAAACTAACTTTTAACAGGAAGAAACTTCCAGCAGAACCAGGCTCAGGGAGGGGCAGCGATTTGCTGTGACCACTTGGGGGTGACGAAGAAAGTGAGAAAAGGATTAATAATAACTAATGATTAAATGCAGAGAGAGGTAAAAAAGAAACAGCCACAAGTAAGCCAGCATCCTGAGAACAAAGTGATGTTTTATAAAAATTCATGAATTTGTGGCGAAATCTTTTTTGTTTCATTTTGTTTGTTTACATTTTGAATATGATTTCTAGCACTGATAATTCCTCTGGTGATGTTTATACCACAGTTTGTAAACATGTGAATAAAGATGTTTAAATGGGGTCTGTTTCTGAAGTTTTATGCAACCTTTGGTGATCATGTGCACATAGTGCCTAATCTAAAAGCGGAGTGAAGAACAGAAACTGCTAGTAAGTAACTACAGATGTAAGAAAATGTTTCTTAAAAATCTGCTTTGCAAATGTCTTATGCAGAAGGAAGTGTGTGTGTGTGGGATTCATCCAGCAGAAATATTGTGTAGCATTTATGAGCACCTTGATCTTTTTGTTTATTATATGGAATTTCCCTTTCTTAGATGACATCAGCGTGCCACCACATATTTAAATTTTGGTTTACTAAACCACCGAGCTACACCCAGAGCAAGAAATGTGATTGCATATTGATTTATTTTGGCCAAATTTACAGAAAAAATTTGCAGAAAATTATAAAAGACATTCATATCCAGATCTTACCCGACAGAAAAAAAGGAATAGCGATCCTAGTTTTTCTTATTCTCTACCACACCCCCATTTTTTAGCTATATTTTCATGTGTGTACGGCGTTTAGAAGATCATCTGAAATACATTACTCCTGCTTTGTGGACTTAAATCCATTAGATTAAAAGCATTTAAGAGTAAAAGACAATTAAGTAGTGTGCTAACTGAGATGGTCATCGCTCACAGCTGGTCTGGTAACAGTGTTGTCTGTCTTCATGCTGTACTATAAAAATAGAAAAGAGCAAACCCAGCTGAGTTTAACACGTCAGCCATTATTGGCAGCGTCTCATGATAAACATTCACATTAGATTTAAAATACACATCAAAGAAAAATTGCCGGCTTTTCTCTTTTCTTTTCATGTAAATAGCAGATCATATCAATCATATCTGCATCTGTGGTTTCCTCCTTTAGTCTAGTTATCTGTAATCCTCTTTAACTAATTTTTCTTTACCAGTTGACCGGATAGTGGGACTGGACCAGGTTGCGGGCATGAATGAGACAGCGTTTGGTGCTGCCTACAAGACCAAGAAGGGCATGTTTCGCACCGTGGGGCAGCTGTACAAGGAGCAACTGTCTAAGCTCATGGCCACACTGAGGAACACCAACCCCAACTTTGTCCGCTGCATCATCCCCAACCATGAAAAAAGGGTGAGTCTTAAAATCTAACCATCAGCAAAATGTCCTGCTTCAGCGTAGATTCTGAGTTCATCACTACAAACAAATGTGCAAATTCTGTGCAAATGTGCCTTCACTTATTTATGTTTGCACTGAGATGGGAAACATTTGCACTGATCGTCGTGAGTACAGGCAAGAAGCACTGATGTCTTTGGCTGAGAGGATGACACGCGCACTGACTGCAGTGTCATGGAAACAGATCTCATTAAACCCTCTTTTTTTTTTCTTTTTTTTTTTAAGGGCTATTTATACAGAAGCTTTACATAATGTTTTTTATGGTCTCATGTTTTTTTGTTGATCTCATTATTTTTCCTCTTCCTCCTTTGCCAGGCTGGTAAACTGGACCCCCACCTGGTTCTGGACCAGCTGAGGTGTAATGGTGTGCTTGAGGGGATCCGTATCTGCAGACAGGGCTTCCCCAACCGCATCGTCTTCCAGGAGTTTAGACAAAGGTCATTTTTAATCTATGTCTCAGTTTGTCACCTTAATGTTTTCCTTCTAAGGTTTGGAATAAGCTAAATGTATTTATTACTTTGGGAAAAAAAAAACGTGTAAGGCTCTTTTAGGAATTAAACTTGTCATATATGAATCCATCCATCCGTGCATTTTCTTAAACGCTAATCCAGTTCAAGGTTTTGGGGGTGCTGGAGTCTATCCCAGCTGTCACTGGGTCAGAGGTGGGGTACACGCTGAACTGGTTGCCATTCTGTCACAGGGCTAATACAGAGAGACAGACAGCTATAAAAAGTGTGATTTACATGTTAAAATACACACTCACTGGACATTTTATTAGGTACAGCTTGTTAGTAATGAGCGGGAGCACCTTTTGTCTTCAGAACAGCCTTAATTCTTCATCAAGGTGCTGGAAACATCTGTATTGACGTGATAGTATCGCACAGCTGCAGATTTGTCGGCTGCACATCCATGACATGCATCTTCAGTTCCACCACATCCAAAAGATGCTCTACTGAACTGAGATCTGGTGACTGTGGAGGCCTCTGCTCAAATAAGTCACGTTATTCTTGGGCTGATTAAATATTTGTATTAACGAGAAGTTGAACAGATGTAACTAAAAAAAAGGGATTCATGTGTGCAGCTTCTACCTGACGGGAAACAAAGGACTCGGTCCTGTCTTTCATTCTGTTTTGTATAATATTAGCAAGGACATTTTGTCACTCAGTGATGGTGCTTGTTTCTTTCTGCTTTTTAACAAGGTATGAGATCCTCACTCCTAACGCCATTCCCAAGGGCTTCATGGATGGCAAGCAGGCCTGTGAGAGAATGGTAAGGACCCGTCCAAACTCCGGTGATTTATCTTTACATGGAGGAGTCTAAGAAGTAAAGGTCACCTTGTTATTAAAATGATTATAAATAAATTATGAATAGACAACAGTATTATTTCCGTTTCAACCACATCTTCACCTCATCTCCCTCTAAATGATAGATTCAAGCCCTAGAGCTGGATGGCAACCTTTTCCGAATTGGCCAGAGTAAGATCTTCTTCAGGGCCGGAGTCCTCGCCCACTTAGAGGAAGAGAGGGACCTGAAAATCACGGACATCATCATTTACTTCCAGGCTGTTTGTCGAGGATATCTGGCACGCAAGTAAGTATAAACAGAGTTGTTTCTATATATTTGATCACAAAAATCTCACTGTTGTCTCTCTTTTCTTCTCTGTTTGCTTCAGGGCCTTCGCTAAGAAACAACAGCAGCTCAGTGCGCTAAAGGTTCTCCAGAGAAACTGTGCCGCTTACTTAAAGCTGCGTCACTGGCAGTGGTGGAGACTCTTCACTAAGGTGTGTAACTCTCATTTCTCGGTGCTGATAATTATTAAGAGTTTGTAGTAGTCAGTGTTGTGCAAAAGCAGAGTCCCTCTGGTTTTGCTGCTACTGTTCATTTGTACCCACAGGTGAAGCCCCTGCTGCAGGTGACCAGGCAGGAAGAAGAGTTGCAGGCTAAGGATGAAGAGCTGGTCAAAGTGAAGGAGAAGCAGATGAAGGTGGAGGGAGAGCTGGTGGAGATGGAGAGAAAACATCAGCAGGTTGGTTACAACTACAGCAATAACATCAAATGTTCGCTTTAATGTTGAACTCTCTGAAGTGCACAATCGACACAGTAACATTATCGATGTGTAGCTAATGGAAGAGAAGAACATCTTAGCCGAGCAGCTGCAAGCGGAGACAGAGCTGTTCGCAGAGGCCGAGGAGATGAGAGCTCGTCTTGCTTCCAAAAAACAAGAGCTGGAGGAGATCCTCCACGACCTGGAGTCCAGGCTGGAGGAAGAAGAAGAGCGGAGCCAAGAGCTGCAGAACGAGAAGAAAAAGATGCAGTCCCATATCCAGGTATCAGGGCATTAATGCTGGGAGAAATAGATTCTTTGTCTCTCAATTACTTATGTAACAGCTGGAAATGTTAAAAAAACAAGTATATTTTAAAATATAACTGACTTACTCAGTGCAAAATATGTTTGCTCATTATGTTTGTTGCTGTGCGTAGGACCTGGAAGAACAGTTGGATGAGGAGGAGGCTGCCAGGCAGAAGCTGCAGCTGGAGAAAGTGACGACTGAAGCTAAAATGAAGAAATACGAAGAGGACATTTTGCTGCTGGAGGACCAGAACTCCAAGTTCCTCAAGGTGAGAGGAAGATGCCTCTAAAAGGGTGGACGCATTCATGTTTGAGTTGGGAAGTTAGCTGTGCATTAAGGGGTCTGTCTCTTTTCATGTTTAGGAAAAGAAGCTGCTTGAGGACAGAATCAATGAGGTGACCTCGATGCTAGCTGAAGAGGAAGAGAAGGCCAAGAACCTGGGCAAGGTCAAAAACAAGCAGGAAATGATGATGGTCGACCTGGAGGGTAAACAAGTATAAAATAGCATACGGAGAATAGTAAACTATCACTTCTACAGCACAGTTGTTAAAAGAACTGTCTTATATTAAACCGATGTTTTATTGTGTTTTATAATCAGAGAGGCTGAAAAAAGAGGAGAAGACCCGACAGGAGCTAGAGAAGGCTAAGAGGAAGCTGGATGGGGAGACGTCCGACTTTCAGGACCAGATATCAGAGCTTCAGTCCCAGATAGAAGAACTTAAAATGCAGCTGAGCAAGAAAGACGACGAGCAGCAGATGATGCAGGCGAGGTAGGAGATGGTAGCCCGACTACGGAGGAGAATGAGTCCTGATCAGTTCAACAGACTGAGCTAAATATGGGCTTCAGAGTCATAGAAATTCTAAAGTGATTAGAGCAGGAGTGAGATAAGTGTTGCATAGCATTACGAAGCAGTCAGCGCACTGGAAACATTCACACTACCCATTTTATATGGAGCGTTTTATTAGACTTGCAGACCGGTGTACAGCAGTGCTCGTATTGTTAGAGTTCACTTTTTGTTGTTCTGCTTGGTGACCCGGCGCCGGCTGATATTTACTACGTGACTCTCACGGCACTGGAATGTGTTTGGAGTGTGCGATTGGTATTTGTGAGGCATTATTGGTCATTTATAAGTGTGAGATCATACTACATTCATACATTTCTTTTAATTAGAATCAACAGTGATCCTGCCTCTGCTGCCACCCACTGGACCAGTGGTTTCATTACATGCACGGCATTTTTGGAGAAGCAAATCTGAACAAGCACTGGCACTTATTGAGTTCGTGGCTCAAGAGTTGGGAGTTCGCCTTGTAATCGGAAGGTTGCCGGTTCGAGCCCCGGCTTGGACAGTCTCTGTCGTTGTGTCCTTGGGCAAGACACTTCACCCGTTGCCTACTGGTGGTGGTCAGAGGGCCCGGTGGCGCCAGTGTTCGACAGCCTCGCCTCTGTCAGCGTGCCCCAGGGTGGCTGTGGCTACAATGTAGCTTGCCATCACCTGTGTGTGAATGTGTGTGTGGATGGGTGGATGACTGGATGTGTAAAGTGCTTTGGGGTCCTTAGGGACTAGTAAAGCGCTATACAAATACAGGCCATTTACCATTTACTTTTATTCAAGTCTAAACCGTCTTACATTCAACCAATGGTTTTTCTGTTTTATAATTAGACGGGCTGAAGGAAGAAGAGAGGAAATGACTGAAAAAGTTTCTAGTGCTTATTTTTAGTGGAACATTGAGGTTGTCCTATATCTCCAGAGGCATTGTGTTTTTTTTATTATAGCCACTTTTATACTTTGATTTCAGGAGCGAGGAAGAAGTCAGCCATAAGAACAATGCTCTGAAGCAGATTCGGGAGCTGCAGGCGCAGCTGTCTGAGCTGCAGGAGGACCTCGAGTCCGAAAAACAGGCCAGGAACAAGGCTGAGAAACTCAAGAGGGACTTGAGTGAAGAGCTTGAGGCCTTGAAGACTGAACTGGAGGACACCCTCGACACAACTGCAGCCCAGCAGGAGCTTAGGTACTGTATGCTACATTTCTCATCCATATTTTAAAGAGTGGTGCATTTAGGAGAGCTTGTTATGTTCTCTGTAGGACCAAGCGTGAACAGGAGGTTGCAGAGCTGAAGAAAGCCATTGAGGAGGAGACTAAAAACCACGAGGCTCAGATCCAGGAGATGCGACAGAGGCATGCCACAGCCCTAGAAGAGCTGTCCGAACAGCTCGAACAGGCAAAGAGGGTAACTGACCTTTTTCCAATCAGCAGATTCACAAGTTATTATAGGTGCTACTCTGTCATTTATACTACTAATGTTTATTATGGATTATACGTAGTTCAAGGCTAACCTGGAAAAGACCAAACAGAGCCAAGAGACTGCCAACAAGGAGTTGGCCAGCGAGGTCAAGAGCCTGCAGCAGGCAAAGCAAGAGTCCGAACACAAGAGGAAGAAGCTGGAGGCTCAGCTGCAAGAATTCATGGCCAGGGTCACTGAAGGAGAGAGGGCTAAGGGAGAACTGGCTGAGCGCTCACACAAACTGCAGGTGAGGTGGTGGTGGTGAAACTGGTTTAAGGTACCAGAGCAGAGGAAAAACACATTTTTATTAAATGTGCTAGCTTATCAAAAATATCTGGATTCTTCTAGAAGTAAAATCCTCTTGTTCGTGTACATAAGCTTAAAGTAAATGAACTGGTTCTTCTATAGTGCTTTCTATCTATCATTCACACTCCGAAGGATACTTTGGCATATAGACTCGAGTAGCCAGGGATCGAACCACCAACCTTTTTTAACCTTTTTCATTGTAGTGTAACTTCATTTTTTTCACTGTTCAGTTGTATTTCTTTGTGTGACTCTTTATCTTTTCTCTTGACGATAAGTCGACGTTGTAAGAATTCTTTTGTAGCTGTTTAGTCTTTACTTTGGACAACAGCTGCTTCATTTAATGAGTTTATAGTACATACTGACTGCTAAAGGACAGATTCTTGAAAAACTGTAAATATAAGCTTGCAGAGATTTTGTTTCACCACTTGTCATTTTTGTATTCAAATCTGTTGGACCAAAGCAGATAATCTGGTTTAAAATCTTCACACAGACTGAGCTGGACAATGTGTCTACCATGCTGGAAGATGCAGAGAGGAAGGGGATCAAGTTGGCCAAAGATGTCGCTGGGCTAGAGAGTCAACTGCAAGACACACAGGTAGCGTAAAGTTAACTGTGATATTAAAGGGAACCTCCTATGCTCATTTCCAGCTCAGTATTTCTATTCTTATTCTATTTCTATTCTTATTCAAGTACAAAATGTTTCATTGTCTTATACTGGGCCTTGGTGCACCCCCTTATAACTTTTCCAGTGCCCATTTAAGTGAAACTGTTCTTTTAAAATAACTGTATCCATATTCATTGTTATTAGGAGCTACTCCAGGAGGAGACCCGCCAGAAACTAAACCTCAGCAGTCGAATTCGCCAGCTGGAAGAGGAGAAAAACACTCTGCAGGAGCAGCAGGAGGAGGATGAGGAGGCACGCAAGAATCTGGAGAAACAGATGTTTACCTTACAGGCTCAGGTAGGACATGATTTCTGCTGTAGGAAACAAAGTTTAAGTAATGTGACTGTCCTTTAAAGTTTCTTTTCTGTGGTGCAGCTGTCAGAGAGCAAGAAGAAGCTTGAAGACGATGTTGGAACAATTGAAGGTCTGGAGGAGACGAAGAAGAAGCTGCAGAAGGACCTGGAACTGGCCAACCAGCGTCTGGAGGAGAAGACGATCGCTTTTGAAAAAATGGAGAAGACCAAGACTCGTCTGCAGCAGGAGCTAGATGATCTAACTGTGGACTTGGACCACCAGAGACAGATCGTCTCCAACCTGGAGAAGAAACAGAAGAAGTTTGACCAGGTGAGAACATGTCAGTGGATGCATTTTAGGTCAAGTTTGTTGTACATACAATTTTTTGTTTTAAGCTAAGAGTATAGAGAACAACTCTGTTCTCTTGATAGATGCTGGCTGAGGAGAAGAGCATCTCGGCTCGTTATGCTGAGGAGCGTGACCGTGCTGAAGCTGAGGCCAGAGAGAAGGAGACCAAAGCTTTGTCCATGGCCAGAGCCTTGGACGAGGCACTGGAAGCCAAAGAGGAGCTAGAGAGGATTAACAAGCAGCTCCGCGCTGAAATGGAGGATCTGATGAGCTCGAAGGACGACGTGGGCAAGAATGTGAGCGGCACAGTGTTTTAGAAGGGGACCTTTGAAGTTTGTATCCAAGTGTTTCTTCTTCTTTTTTTCATTCACTCCTCTTTTTCATATCTCACACACACATATCAGGTCCATGAGCTGGAGAAGTCGAAGCGCACGCTGGAGCAGCAGCTGGAGGAGATGAAGACTCAGCTGGAGGAGCTGGAGGACGAGCTGCAGGCCACAGAGGACGCCAAGCTGCGCCTGGAGGTCAACATGCAGGCCATGAAGGCCCAGTATGAGAGAGACCTGCAGGGCCGGGACGACCAGAACGATGAGAAGAAGAGAGCACTGGTCAAGCAGGTGGAAATTAAATCTAATTATGTTGCATTGGTTCGTTCCCCATAATTTCCACACTGATGACTTGTGATGTCTCCTTCCAGGTGCGAGAGATGGAGGCGGAGTTGGAGGATGAGAGGAAGCAGAGAGCTTTGGCTGTGGCTGCTAGAAAGAAGCTGGAGATGGACCTGAAGGATATAGAGGGTCACATAGAAGGAGCCAACAAGGCTCGAGACGAAGCCATCAAACAGCTGCGCAAGTTACAGGTGCAGATTTTATTCACGTGTTTGCATCAGCCGGATTTTTTTACTTTATTCTCCAGTCATGCCTTGTTGTTGCTTCCTTCAGGCCCAAATGAAAGACTACCAGAGGGAGCTGGAAGACACTCGAGCTTCCAGAGACGATATTTTTGCCCTATCCAAGGAAAACGAGAAGAAGCTCAAGAGCCTGGAGGCAGAGATTGTACAGCTACACGAGGTCAGGACAGTCTGAAGCTCAGACGTTTTGTGATGTTTGTTGCTATGCAGGGTGTCGGTAATTCACAGT